TGTGTGTGTGTGTGTGTGTGTGTGTGTGTGTGTGTGTGTGTGTTTGTTGTAGCATTTGTTATCTTGTAAGGACCATTTTCCCTTAATATACTACCTTGTAAGAACCTACTGCTCCGTTTGATGCCCAAAGTCCAGGCCCCTTAAGTTAAAATATCATTTTCAGTTTGTGGGGTTAGATTTAGGACTAAGGTTTGAATTGAGGGTGAGTTAGGTTTAGGATAAGAGTTAGGTTGTATAAATTGATGAAAAATAAATAGAAGTCAGTGGAAAGTACAAACACATGATAGGTGTGTGTATTCTAGCATTTATTCTCTTGTACGGCCCATTTTCCCAAAATATATTACCTTGGGAGAACCCACTGCTCCTTATGAGGCCCAAAGGCCGAATCCAACAAGTTTAAATGTTGTTTTTGGGTAAGTCTATAGAAATGAATGAAAAATGAATGAAAGTCAATAGAAAGTCTCAGAGAAGATAGAAAGACATGATTGTGTGGGAGAGAGGTGACAAATAGGTCTGCCTCTTTTTAAACCTGGTATTTATGGGTTAAGGTTCAGCCTTTGTGTGTGAGTAAACTTGTATTTGTTACCTTTATAGGACAGTTTCTGGCATACAAACCTACATCGTCAAGATCGGTGGTCCTTATGGGGACCAAAGTCCGGTCCTACAGTAATATGGTGTAACTCCACTTTTGGGTTGGGGGTTAGATTTAGGACTAAGGTGTGAACTGAGTTTAGGTTAGGTACAGAGTAAGGGGTCAGGACTGGGGTATAGAAACAACAGGAAATTAATGAAAGTCAATGAACGGCCCTAATAAGGATAGAAATACAAACCTGTGTGTGTGTGTGTGTGTGTGTGTGTGGACACCGAGGACTTCAGTAGATCGTTCCAGGCAAGCAAATGTGCTCATAAATGAATGCACACAGGGCTACACACATACACAAACCAGTGTGTCCTAAATATTTCACCATAGAGACGGGAGGAAAGAAAATACATGCAGGAACACACACAAACAAATTGGAAGGTTAAAAACAGCAGAGTGGCAGCGCGAGAGAGCCAGGGGCTCTGAAAAGGCTGAAGCTGTTTGACCAAATGAAGACAAAGAAAAACAACCACAGGCAAATGCAAGCTGCCCAAATTTGCAAGTACTAACACACACACATCGAGTCTACTGTGTGTGTGTGTTTTTAGCAAATGTGGCCACTGCATTAGTAATGTAGATTTATTATGATATTGATCAGTGGCAGACGTCTAAACATCACACGCACGCAGCAAAGCACTGAGTCAACAACGCACACACACAGGGGGAAAAAAATGACTGTTTATATCAGCAGCACTCCACAACAATAAATTATGAACTATTGACTTTGCACCTGTGCGTACAAAGACGAAGAAGAAAAGAGGCAGACAGATACACACGCTGAGCAGCATGCAAACACACCATGAACACCTGCCACAACAAAAACCTGTCTGTAAAAAAGAAAAAAGAATAACACTCGAGGCAAAATGGAGGAAAAAGCCACAGAGAGGTACATAAAACAAACACACACACACACTTTTTGGCTGGTAAATAGCACTGCGGCGTGTGATTAAAAGATTTCTAATTTTAAATTGAATTATTGGATGCACACGTAATATGTTTTGCGGCAGGAAAAAACCAGCCGTTAATAACAGCTGCGTCCCTGGAAGTGTCTTGACGAGCGCGGCGGCGGCATACACAACCAGAGGATCAGATGGGTCGTGACTCACCTCCACCTCCTCCCAGCAGGGTCTTGTTGGCTGAAAGACAATAAAATGACAAAAATAAAAAATTTAAATTGAGGTACTTTTGAATTTACCTCAACAATACATAACCAAACGACATAAATATGGCTTTAAAATCGGCGAGCTGGAATAATGAAGCGGTGAGTCAAAGTGAACAGACACAAAATATTTTTTATGAATCAACCTAAAAATGTATTCACCAGATATATACATGACTACTTTTTTTTTTACATTTAACCAATGAAAAGTACTTAGAAGAGCTGCTGATTAAACCCAGTAAATCCTGATTCTCAAACTGTCAGCAAAACCTCCTCCACCCCCTCCTCCCATAATTCCACCTTGAATAAATGTGCTGCACACAGAGATCAAGGTATTCACACCGACACTGAACTGAACATTTTTTTTACTCAGACACGGTTATTTTTCTTAACAGTAAAACACTTTTGATATGTATTTGTAACTGACAGCAACAATGCTTTGGTTTGTGGTTTTATTTTTTGAAGGAAATATTCTGGATTCTGTCAAACAGAAGCAGATGTTCAAGGAAATCCTGACAGGATGTGTTTGTGAAACTGAAAGTCTGTTATCTCCTGATTAATAGTCATGTTTTGTAAGAAATAAATAAATGAATTAGACCTCGTGAGGGGCTCATGAATACCATCCAGTTAGGTTGAAGGTGATGATGTGGTACATTTAAAAACAATCTTAGTTAATCAAAGTGCTGAAAAATCTGTTAAACATCCATTTAATGGCATCTATTAATTCAATTTATTCTCAATACAGTATCTATCATCTATTTATCTACAGTGGTTTGCAAAAGTATTCATACCCCTTGAACTTTTCCATATTTTGTCACATTACAACCACAAACATAAATATATTTCACTGGAATTTAATGTGAAAGACCAACACAAAGTGGTATACAATTGTGAAGTGGAAGCAAAATTTTACATGAATCAAAACATTTTTTACAAATAAAAAACTGAAAAGTGCGATGTGCAAAATTATTCAGCCCCCCTGAGTCAATACTTTGTGGAGCCACCTTTTGCTGCAATTACAGCTGCAAGTCTTTTAGGGTATGTCTCCACCAGCTTTGCACATCTAGTGACTGCAATTCTTGCCCATTCCTCCTTGCAAAACAGCTCAAGCTCAGTCAGATTGGATGGAGAGCGTTTGTGAACAGCAGTTTTGAGATCTTGCCACAAATTCTCAATTGGGTTTAGGTCTGGACTTTGACTGGGCCATTCTAACACATGAATATTCTTTTTTTTAAACCACTCCATTGTAGCTTTGGCTTTATGTTTAGGGTCGTTGTCCTGCTGGAAGGTGAACCTCCGCCCCAGTCTCAAATCTTTTGCTGACTCCAACAGGTTTTCTTCCAAGATTGCCCTGTATTTGGCTCCATCCATCTTCCCATCAACTTTGACCAACTTCCCGGTCCCTGCTGAAGAGAAGCACCCCCAGAGCATGATGCTGCCACCACCATATTTGACAGTGGGGATGGTGTTTTCAGAGTGATGTGCAGTGTTCTTTCTCCGCCAAACATAGCGTTTTGCATTGTGGCCAAAAAGTTCAATTTTGGTCTCGTCTGACCAAAGCACCTTCTTCCACATGTTTGCTGTGTCCTCAACATGGCTTCTGGCAAACTGCAAACGGGACTTCTTATRGTTTTCTTTTAACAATGGCTTTCTCCTTGCCACTCTTCCATAAAGACCACATTTGTGTTGTGCACGACTAATTGTTGTCCTGTGGACAGTTTCCCCCACCTGAGCTGTGGCTCTCTGCATTTCATCCAGAGTCACCATGGGCCTCTTGGCTGCCTCTCTGATCAGTGATCTCCTTGTTCGGCCTGTAAGTTTAGGTGGACGGCCTTGTCTTGGCAGGTTTACTGTGGTGCCATACTCTTTCCATTTCCGGATGATGGATTGAACAGTGCTCCGTGAGATGTTCAAAGCTTGGGAAATCTTTTTATAACCTAAGCCTGCTTTAAACTTCTCCAAAACCATATTCCTAACCTGTCTGGTGTGTTCTTTGGACTTCATGATGCTGTTTGCTCCCCAATATTCTCTTAACCAACATCTGAGGCCGTCACGGAGCAGCTGTATTTGTACTGAGATTAGATTACACACAGGTGGACCCTTTTGAGTCATTAGCAGTCATCAGGCAACTTCTGAATGCAATTGGTTGCACTCAGGGAAAAGGGGGCTGAATACTTTTGCACGTCGCACTTTTCAGTTTTTTATTTGTAAAAAATGTTTTGATTCATGTAAAATTTTGCTTCCACTTCACAATTGTTTACCACTTTGTGTTGGTCTTTCACATTAAATTCCAGTGAAATATATTTATGTTTGTGGTTGTAATGTGACAAAATATGGAAAAGTTCAAGGGGTATGAATACTTTTGCAAACCACTGTATCCATCCATCCATTTAGTCATCTATCTCTCTATCCATCCATCCATTTATCATCTACCATCCATCATGTAATATCCATCCATTTATCCGTTCTTCCATCTATTTATCATACATCAGCCATCATCATTCCATCATCATCTTATCACCCATCATTCATCCATAGATCATGTATCCATCAATCCATAATTCTATCATCTATCTATTGATCTATAATCTGTCCATCCATTTATTATCTATCCATCTGCTTATCATTTATTTATCATCTATCTGTCCGTCCATCCATCCATCCATCCATCCATCCATCCAACCATCCATCCATCCATCCATCCATCCATCCATCCAACCAACCATCCATCCATCCATCCATCCAACCATCCATCCATCCATCCATCCATCCATCCATCCATCCATCCATCCATTCATTATCTATCAGTTCATCTATCTATCCATCCATCAATAAATGTATTATCTATCCATCCATCCATCCATCCATCCATCCATCCATCCATCCAATCAATATAGAGTTATATTATAAATACTAAACTTTAAAAATTCTTTTAAAAAACTCACATAACTTTGTGATGTTTATAACTCAGCATCTGGGAGGAAAAAACAAGTCTTTTTCACATATTTACTTGCAGCAGGTGATATGTTTCGCCACATTTATCCATTAGAAGAGATTTGTAATTGGTTTCAGTGCTTCTCATCAGGAATGGTGCTCAGTGCTCCTCAAGGGCTCACAGCAGTGCTGGTTTTCCCAATCAGTGAGCTAATTTCCTTCATGTGGAATCAATGGTGCAATCCCCCCTCCACCCGACTCAACAGATAAAATAAGAACCAGCAGGTTTTAAATCCTGTCGCTGACGACCAAGTGGCACAGCGAGCATCTTCACCGTCGACGGCGCTAAAGAATAAACTCACGCAGAGTCTGCAGTTCAAAAGATCACAAACAGTTCTGTTGAAAGAAACAGAGAGGTGTTTGATGTGTTTTGTTCCACACAGATACCTGGATAACAAAAGGATAGCTGCTACCTGAGTAAAACAAACATAATGAGCTTGTTTTTCAGCAAAACAAATACAGAGTTAAACACTAGCAGCTTAGCCCGTCGATGTGCCCCCAGTCATTACCGTCCCTACTTGTATCATGTCACTGCACAGCTTTAAGAGTGTTAACTGCTGGCAGGGTGATAGGCTCGGCTGTCGCTGCTTTCAACATATGCAATACCCAAGTGTTTTTTTTTCTCACTCGCATCTCCAAAACAAAATGTGTGGAGTCAGCAGCACTAGCCCAAGGACATCTGCAGTGCTTCCAGGAAACTCAAACCTCACCAAAACTCACAAATTATGTTCTATATCATTTTTTTCCTGCTTTTGCATCAGATTTAAAGGTGCTGTGGCCATGTTAGAATAATCTGATAAGCTCATAATCACTGCAGTTACAGCTATGTCAGAAAACATAGGGGACATTCTTCATTTTAGATACAACTTGCCAGCAGGCATTGTGCCAGCTCAGACTGTACCAGAAAACCTGATATTCAAAAGAGGACGTCCCAGATGATCGGGAAAATTCTGCAATTTTCATAGTTTTACTGCTTCATAAGAGCTAAATACAACAAAAATAAACATTTAAACGCCACTTATTTGGGACTAACATCTCATTTTTCATGTAAAACCTAAATGTATCAACTCTGAAGGTGAACAAGTTTGTTGGAGAGAGCTCATCCAGATGTGAAATCTCAGAGAAATAGCTGCTTCCTACAGGGTCTCGTGTTCATCCTGCGCCGCTGAGCTGCAGGCTGCACAGAAGGGTCCCGTCCAAAACTAGATGTTGGTTTGAGCTGATGAATCCGATGAATTCCGGTCCACATGCGGTCTGAACTCCTGAGAGGTGAAGGGAAAAAAATCTGCCCGGAGAACATAAGATGCAGCTCCGACACGAAGCGCTGGAATCAGACCAGAGTTATCAAAACTTGGCCCGAGTTGGTGGGAAGTGAGGCAGCTTCCATATGGTTCCCTGAATTCCTTCTTACTTTTTTTTTTAAATAATTGAGTTTTTTCAGGAAAACATTTATTTTGTTTCCTCATTTAAAAACAGAAATCCAAGCATTACTTACTGGAATGCATCATCTGTATCTTTCATAGTTTTAGGCAAAGATAATCTTATTTTGGGAAATAAATCTTAAACATAGCATCATGTCATGCTCAGAGTATGCATTGTGAATGACTCTTATATGACTAACATATCAAATTTTAGCTCAATATCTGGAAAATTAACTGAGTTATAGCCATTTTTGTGTTGGCTAATGAGGATTAGCTGAGGTGTCTATTTTTTATTGAAGTGGCTTGTAGTCAAGGGCAAGTAAACAATCAACATTGCTTACTTTACAAACCGTTAAAAGGACTTTAAATGATGAACTTGTATGGGGCGCAGTTTGTAAAGTAGCTTGTGATAAAATCAATAGCAAAATATTGTCACATTTCGCTTCAAACAATGTTTGAAAAAGTAGTGTGGATTTTATAAAGTTACCTTTCAGCACATTTGATGACTTCTACCTGAGTGTTTTTCTGAAACTTAATACTTAGCTAATAGGCAAATTCACAC